TTTTTTAATTAATTAACTTTATTTATTTTGAGGCTAACTTTCACCGTGTTGCTCAGACTGGCCTTGAACTTAAAAGACTCAAGCAGTCCTCCCACCAAAGCCTTCCAAGTGTCTGGGACTATTAGTGAGCTTCTCCCTTTTTCTGCTTAGCTTCTCTCTAGGATAAAAATAATGTGTATTTATTGTAGAATTCTTACAAAAATACTAAGAATAAACATAAGCTATAATTTTATCCACCCTGACATAACTAGTTAATTAACATTTAGTCATTTTTAGTCTTCAGTAAGCACCAGACTTTCAGTTAACTTTAACTTACTTCTTTTTTTACATTACTGAAAAGTTTTTTGATGGTTATTTTTTTATTGTACTTTTGTGGGGTGCTTTTTTTTTGGGGGGGGCGGTCCAGTCATGGGGCCTGAACTCTGGGCCTGGGCACTGTCCCTCAGCTCTTCAGCTCAAGGCTAGCGCTCTGCCACTTGAGCCACAGCGCCACTTCCGGCTTTTTTCTTTTTGCTTATGTGGTGCTGAGGAATCGAACCTAGGGCCTCACACATACAAGGCAAGCGCTCTACCACTGAGCCACCTTCCCAGCCCAGGAGTTACAATTTTAAAAGTCAGGTAATGAGCACATTTCTTTTTTTTTTTTTTTGGGTCCGGTTGTGGCGCCTAAACTCTGGGCCTGGGCGCTGTCCCTCAGCTCTTCAGCTCAAGGCTAGCGCTCTACCACTTGAGCCACAGCGCTACTTCCAGCTTTTTTCTTTTTGCTTATGTGGTGCTGAGGAATTGAACCCAGGGCCTCATGCATGCAAGGCAAGCACTCTACCGCTGAGCCACCTTCCCAACCCCGTGAGCACATTTCTTTTTGGACAATGTCATCCCTTCTTTTGCTCTCCACCAGTTTCCCAATAATACCATCTTTTTCTTTTCTTTTTCTTTTTTTTTTTTTTTTGGTCGTGGGTCTTGAATTCTGGGCCTAGGTGTTGTCCCTAAGCTCTTCAGCTCAAGGTGAGCATTCTACCGCTTGAGCTGCAGCGCTACTTCCAGTTTTCTGGTGGCTAATTGGAATTAAGAGTCTCATGGACTTTCTGCCCAGGCTGGTTTTGAACTCTAGTCCTCAGATCTCAGCCTCCTGAATAGCTAGGATTACAGGTGTGAGCTACTGGAGCCTGGCAATAATATTGTCTTTAAATCAAAGACATTTAGCAGTTCACTCCTTAGCTTAATCAACACATTGCCATTTTTGTGTGTTAGTCACCAAGCTAGGCATCAAAGGACTTAAAATGAAGAAATAATTCTTGTCCTCAGGAAACTTGCAGCTAATGAAAGAAAAAGAGAAATCACAGATCTATTATGCAGTCTAAAAATTTAATTATAGAAGTGCATTGTGGGTCTAAAGAAGATAGAGAACAGAATTGATCAGAGAAGGCATCAAGAAGAGCAGATATTGCTGGGTACAATGGCTCACACTTAGCTACTTGGAGGCTCACCATTCAAGGCTAGGCAAAAAAGTCATGAAACCAATAAAAACTAGGTACTGTGGTACATTCCTATCATTCTAGGTCTCCAGGAAATGTAAATAGGAGGATCAAGGTCCTGGTTGGCCTGGGTATAAATGGTGACTATCTCAAAAATAATCAAAAAGTAAGAGTATGATTCAAATAGAGCAGCACCTGCCTAGCAAGCACAAGGCTCCGAGTTCAAACCCCAATTCTGCTGAAAGGAGAAGGAGAAAAAGAGGAGAAGGAAGAGTCTTTCCCCTCACCCCCTTTTGGTCTGGAGCTTGAACTCAGGGCCTGGGCAATATCTCTGAGCTTTTTTGCTCAAGACTGGTTCTCTACCACTTTGAACCATTTAGCTCCACTTCTGGTTTGCTGGTGGTTAACTGGAGATAGGATTCTCATGGATTTTCTTAACAGGGCTGGCTTTGAACCATGATCCTCAGATCTTAGCCCCCTGAGTAGCTAGGATAACAGATGTGAACCACCAGTGACTGGCTGGAGGAGGAGTCTTAATAGAAAAGTGGGAGAAGTCTTTATGCATGTCTGTGACTAAAAACATGAGGATACACATCTCTAGGAAATACAAGCAGTTTGGTATGTCTGGAACATGAGGCATATTAAGGTATCAGATGTGGGAAAAACAGGTAAAGAACTTTGCCTAACAGAGCTTTGCCTAACAGGCTACAGCAGGTCAGGGAAGGTTATTTTATTTTTTTATTAGCATACATTCATATGACAAGGTTACAGAAGGGCTTTAATGAGTCATATTATTTTTCATTAACATACTTTAATATTTCAAGGGTATGAAAGGGTTTTAATCAATTACACAGTCCAGTATACTTTTTAGAAAAATCAATAAAAGGACAGATGGAAATAAACTAAATTGGAGGCTGGGATGTGTGTGGTTAGGGGTTATCAGGGCCAGCACAGCAAAAAAGGATAGGCAGATGTTTAGAAAAGTAAATGATAGAGCCAGGAAGGAACTTAGTGTGGCTAGAGGTGGGACCTGGGATCAACTCTGGATGATTTGTGAATTTTAAATGAGTGAATTTTGAGGTATGTAAATTATACCTTAAATCTCTTTAAAAGGAAGAGATGAGACAAGTAAGAAATGTTGATAAAGGAGACTTTGCTTATATGAGCCAGGATGTTCAACCATCTGGTCCTAATTGTGCCTCACATTTTTGTAAAACAATGGCAACTCTGTCTTTTCTACAGGTTTCAAGAAACCTGTAGGTTTCAATGCATGTGAATCTGCCCTTAACTGGTTAATTCAGAATATTTGTCTCCAGTTCCTAAGCAGAAACCATATCCCCCGGCTCTCTGCCACCTGGTTTCTTAGTAAACGTATGGTTGTGAGGAAATGTAGTTATGAAGAATTGCCTGTGATTTCTGGTCCATTTATTTCTCTGGGCACTGTGATTCAGCAAATAATTACTAAGTGTCAGGTGTTGGCTGGTAGCATAGCAGTGAATAAAATAGATGTTGTGTCTGCTTTTATGGAGCTTGTAGTCTAGCCCTGAGAACAGATGCTATTTACAGTTATGACAACTATTGTGTTGAATTTCCGATTGCAATTAGAGAAAATAATATACAAACAGATTTAAAGGACAATGCTGGGGTGAATTTGGCTGTAGATGCTAACCTTACAAATATCTAGCTGACACTGCTTTGTAATGAGTGAGTCTTTTGAATCTGCTTCCTTATGGGTCTGGGTTATTTTGGTGCCTCTTATAATTATAATTTTTGAGCTATGTATTAGTTTTATGTCATCACTTTGGATTGACTAGTTTAATAGCTTTATAAGAATCATAACTACTCAGTAGAAATTAAGCATGGTGGCACATGCCTATAATCCTAGGAAGATTACAGGGAGGCAGAGACAGAAGGAACAAAATTCAAGACCAGCTCAGGCAAAAAAAAAAAAAAAAGTCAGTGAAACTATCTCATAAACAAGCCAGATATACAGATGTAGGGAAGTATCCCTATAATATTAGCTACAGAGGCAGAGGTAGGAGAGTCATGGTCTGAGGCTGGTTCCAGGGACAAACATGAGATCCTAACTGAAAAAGGACTCTGAGTGTGGCTCAAGTGGTAGAATACCTGCCTAGTAAATGTAAAGCTCTTGAGTTCAGACATAAGGGGGGAGAGAGAGAAGGAGGGAAAACGGAAGAAGGGAGGGAGGGAGACTAACTTGAAGATACAGACTTATACAGAGAAAGTTTTCTCTGATCATTGTAGTGTTGGTTTGGACATTTGGTCTTTGAGTTGTTCTGAAATGTCTGGTCCCTCTTCAGGTCTCTACATGTGGCTTTCTCTCTTCCTGGAATGCCTATTCCATTCCTGGTATTTGTGGCCCTCATTTACCCTTTAGCTTCTAGTCCAAGTCAGAGAAGCCAACTTAGTTGGCCAACTCCATATTTAGTTTCTAGTTAAATAATTTATCCTTTGATAACTTCTTTTTCCTAGATTGATGGCAGGGAGATCCATGAGGGTAGAGACCAAGGTTTTTATGTTTGCTGCCATATTTCAAAGCTGTACTATAGTATCTTATACATAGTAGATGCCCAATAAGTATTTCCTGAACATTTGAATGAATAGAAGAACGAATGCATACATTGTAAGCACTGAGTTTTGAAACTGTTCGTTTCTCCTTTTTTGCTCTGGCTGTTTGGGAGCTCTACTCTCCTTGATTAAAACTTCAGTGTTTGTAAATGTCCTAATGGCATGTGTTTTTGCATTAACATTTCCCCATTATATGCTACTTTTCCTTTCTTTGATTTTACATGCATTGTGAATTCTTATAGCCCACTCAGTCTTTTTGGAAGAAAAAAGTTACAAAAAATTGAATATGGAAGTAGAAAAATGGAACAAAGAAGAAATGTCACTGCCTTTAACCTGATGCAGAAAGGACGTTTTATTTTGCTTTGTTTTATTTATTTATTTTTTTTTGAGACTTGAACTCAGGGCCTGGGCACTGGTTCTGAGATTTTGTGCTCAAGACTAGTGCCCTACCACTTTGAGCTCCATATCAGCTTTTTTTGGGGGTCCGGTCATGGAGCCTGAACTCTGGGCCTGAGCGCTGTCCCTCAGCTCTTCAGCTCAAGGCTAGCGCTCTACCACTTGAGCCACAGCGCCACTTCTGGCTTTTTCTGCTTATATGGTGCTGAGGAATTGAACCCAGAGCCTCATGCATGCAAGGCCACCTTCCCAGCCCCTTTGCTTTGTTTTAATTGAGAAAAGGCAAAGATTTTTCCCCCTAATCTTTCAGAAACACCTCTAGAGAACAAAAGTTTACCACTCTCTTGAGATGTTTTTCTGATTGTCAGGAGGCAAGGGATGGTGGGTGGCAGGACCTGTTAGCTCACTGGATGGGTGGGCCTGGGCCTTCATTAAGTTCCATCTTACCTGACTCTTCCCTGGGCAGTTTGGGTAGAGCCAGCAAGAGCTTGTTGTGTTACCGAAAGGAGAAAGAAATGAACTTGTCCTCTTGTGTTACAGATTCAGTGGTTCTTTCCTTTGACTCCGCTGGACAAACTCTAGGCTCAGGTACCAATTTTTCCCCCTCTATCATCTTTTCAGCTCCCAATATTGGCAATATGTGTAGTGAATCTGATGAGGTAAAAGTATGCGGGGAGGGCAAAGGACTATGTCAAAGTTGTGGGAAAGTCTCAAAAAGGTTTCCTAGGGCTTCACAGGGATACATGTTTCAGAGCATTTTCTCAGTTGCTTTGAAAGTATGTACTGATTGGCTGGGCATAGTGGTATACATCTGTTACTGGGGAAATGGAAGCAGGAAGATCAAGGGTTTAAAGTCATCCTGAGCAAAGTTAACAAGACTCTATCTCAAAACACAACACAACAACAACAACGTATGCTGTGATACATGGCAACAAAGCAGTCCAGATTCATATGAAAGGATGTCTGTTTTCTGTGCTCATGTCCCACCTCAGTCACCTCAGAAAGTGGGGCAGAGGGTATCGAGAGACTCCATAGCCTGGGCATAATAAGCATCAGGACTCTCCCACAGAGGGCTAGGCTCTTTTAGTTTCCTGAGAACATACACGTGTGTTTTTGTTTTGTTTTATATTGCAGTTTTGTTTATTTGGCAAAACTGGGTTTTGAATTCAGGGCCTTGTGCTTGCTAGACAGGCTCTCTTGCACTTGAGCCATACCTCCAGGCCACCATTCTGTGGAATGTTGTTACACACATCCTCCATGGGCATAAGTACTGACCTTCCCCAGGAGAGGAGTACCACTCTTGACTGTACACTTGTAACAGATGCAGGCAAGCAACACGTTCCCCTCCTTTTGCTGTGTTTACAGTGTAGGGCACACAGACAGGTACATCACCCTTTGAACCCAGACTCACCAGGCCAGGGAAGATGGCTTTTCCAGTTTGGGGCAATCCTCTTGCCCCATAATTCAGTAAATGCTGGCAGTAAGCAAGGAGAGTGGCTGCTTTTACTCCTCAGGCTGCTTTCTCTGTTGGAGCTTAGAATGATTTCGTATGGGGAAAGGCATCATTATACATTAGGCCTGTGTGTTTAGTGGATATGAGTCTGTGCATGCACGTGTGCACGCGCACATACACAACCACACACCCACCATGAAGTTCAGACAGTTGTGGTAGAGTAAACAAGAAGAAAGAAAAACTATATTCAGAGAATATGGTTATGGCCACTTTGCACCAACAATTTGTACCTTGTGCTGGGAACTTAATGCACCAGACAATTACTCCTCATGATTCAAAGCTTTTACACCTTTGGTTATATTAAAGAAACTTATGCCCAAAGATGTGCAATAACCTATTAAGGCTATTCAGCTCCATGTGACTCTAGAACTCATACTCTCTCCTTATGCTGTTATCTCACACCTGGTGGAGGTTCTTGAGGTACCTCCACCAAAATGCTGCTGCAAAAAGGCACTTCCAGATAGAGTAGACAGACAGGAAGATGTCTTAAAAAAAACAAACACAATAGTTGTATCTATTTGATATAGGAAAAGATTAATTTTGCTACATTAAATTAGAACATACCAATATGGCTCATACATCTTTTATGCTCATATGTTCATTGATTTGTTGCCAGAAAAATAGAAATAGGGACAATCATTTTGCCTGTGAAATCTCTTTTTTTTTTTTTTTTTTGGTTATGGGGCTTGAACTCTGGGCCTGGGCGCTGTTCCTCAGCCTTTCAGCTCAAGGCTTGCGCTCTACCACTTGATCCACAGTGCCACTTCCAGTTTTTTCTGCTTATGTGGTGCTGAGCAATCAAACCCAGGGCCTCATGCATGCAAGGCAAGCACTCCACCACTGAACCACCTTCCCAGCCCCCAAACATTATTTGTAAGGAAACAGATTCTCAGATAGCTTGGGTTTTTCATATGAAACCATGGATTTGTGATGAAACTCCCTTATCACCTTTCCTTATGAAATCCCTACACTGACAGGTAGTGATACTACTGCCAGAAGTCCCCAGTACAAGTTTAGAGCCTGTATCCATTCATCTCTAAAAAAAGCTGAATAAATTTCCAAAGGGAAAAAATACTACATTAAAATTGCCATGCCTCAATTTGAGACTACCCTGGGCTATGTAGCAAGACTCTTGTCCCAAAAAAACAAGAGCTGGAAATGTAGCTCAGTAGCTAAGCACTGGCCTGGTATGTGCAAAGCCCTGGGTTCTAGTCCCAGCACTGCCACCCCCAAATGTTAACCACTTCTCTTAACCAAAAGACTGTATTGAGAATGAAAAAAAGATATTTATAACATGGTTGACAAAGGTTTTGTTGGGTTTTTTTGTTTGTTTGTTTTGGCATGGGGCTTGAACTCAGGGCCTGAGCACTGCCCTTGAGCTTTTTTCACTCAAGGCTAGCACTCTACCACAGCACTGCTTCTAGTTTTCTGGGGGTTAATTGGAGATAAATTCTCATGGACTTTCCTGCCCAGGCTGGCTTTGAACCATGTGTCTTCAGATCTCTGCCTCCTATGTAGCTAAGATTACAAGCATGAGCCACCAGCACCCAGCCTAGACAAAGGTCTTTATTCCAGAACAAAGAACTACAAAAATCAATAGGAATAAAGAAATAGCTTAGAAACACAGAAATGAGGAAAAGACTTGAACAGGCATTTCATGAAAGAAGAAACCCATATGGCCAATAAACATATATTAAGGTGTTCAATTGTATTAGTACTTGTAGAAATGTAAACTAGAAACTCAGTGAACTATCACTACATATCTCTTGCGCAGCAAAACTTGTAAGGTTTTAACAGTCTAGTGTGAATAAAGATATGATCTAGTGGAAATTCTTCTGGCTAAAGGGAAAATTGGTACAGCTACTTTGGAAGAATTGATGATAGTATCTAGCTAATTTGAAAAAAATATATGATCTATGACCTCACAGTTTCTCCCTTAGGTATCTTTCCTATAGAATACACATACACACACACTCAAACATGCACACACAGTACACACACATATATCTGTATCAGGATATGTGTGCAAGATGCATGTTTCAGAATAAGTGTATTGTTCATATTGCCAAAAGCAATCCACATACCTAAAGTGAATATTCAAACTCTTATATTCAATTAGAATAGTAAAATTAGCCAACACACATAGATGCAGAAACTTTTATGAATTTTAAAGACATGTTACGTTAAAGAAATCAGATAAAACAATATATTTTGGTTTTCTACTTCTATAAAATTCAAAAACAAGTAAAATTAAAACATTTGTTTAGGCCGGGCCCTGGTGGCTCACGCCTGTAATCCTAGCTACTCAGGAGGCTGAGATCTGAAGATCTCGGTTCAAAGCCAGCCCGGGCAGGAGAGACCGTGAGACTCCTAACCACCAGAAAACCGGAAGTGGCGCTGTAGCTCAAGTGGTAGAGCGCTCGCCTTGAGCTGAAGAGCTGAGGGACAGCGCCCAGGCCAAGAGTTCAAGCCCCACGACCGACAAAAAAAAAACACATTTGTTTAGGGGCTGGGAAGGTGGTTCAGTGGTAGAACACTTGCCTTGCATGCGTGAGGCCCTGGGTTCGATTCCTCAGCACCACATAAGCAAAAAGAAAAAAGCCGGAAGTGGCACTGTGACTCAAGTGGTAGAGCGCTAGCCTTGAGCTGAAGAGCTGAGGGACAGTGCCTAGGCCCAGAGTTCAGGCCCCACGACCGGACCCAAAAAGCCAACAACAACAACAAAAAAAAAACATTTGTTTAGAGCACAATTCAGTGTTAAAACAAAAGCAAGGAACTGAATTCCATAATCACTGGGATGGCAGTATTCAAGGGATGTGTTAAGAGATGGGCACATGGGAGCTTCTAGAAAGTTGGTGTCTTCTTTCTAGTGATGTGAGTGAAATTACTAAGGCTTTTCTTCTAAACTGTACACTTGTGGGTTTGAGTTTGTTGTTGTTGTTGTTTTTTGGTAGTACTGGGGTTTGAACTCAGGGCCTTGTGCTTGCTCGTGTTCTAATACTTGAGTCATACCTCAGGTTCTGCTCTTTGCTGGTTATTTTGGAAATGGAGTCTTGGTGTACTTTTCTTTTTTTTTGGGGGGGGGGGTCCGGTCGTGGGGCCTGAGCTCTGGGCCTGGGCGCTGTTCCCTCAGCTCTTCAGCTCAAGATTAGCGCTCTACCACTTGAGCCACAGCGCCACTTCTGGCTTTTTTCTTTTTGCTTATATGGTGCTGAGGAATCGAACCCAGGGCCTCGAGCATGCAAGGCAAGCGCTCTACCACTGAGCCACTTTCCCAGCCCTTGGTGTACTTTTCTATCTGGATTACCCTTGAGCTGTCGTCCTCCAGATCTCAGCTTCCTAAACAGCTAGAATTACAGGCATGAGCTACTAATGCCTGGCTCATTTTAGGTTTTTGTGTACTTTTCTTTTTATTTATTTATTTATTTTTCTTTCTTTTTTTTTTTTTTACTTATACACAGGGCATATCTTGAGTTGTCAGACATGGCATAAAATGTTCCTATGTACAAAAGGGTCAAGAAGCAGCACCCTAGGTAAGGGTTGCCTGGAAAAAAGGAGGGGAACATTATTATGTGTCAGACAGGGTTTTCCATATTTTTACATGTACTAATTTAATCTCAAACTTTTGAGATAGACACTTATAATCCCCAATTTTCAGTTTAAGGAATTGACATAAATAAAGTTATATATATATGCATATATATAACTGTAAGTTATATCACTAAATATATATATATATATATATATATATATATATATAAGTTATAATAAATAAAGTAACTTGTCCAAGATCAAACAGCAAGCAAATGGCAGAATCAGTATTTGGATTTAGATACTCTAGCTCAAGTCTGTATTCTTATCTAAATAGTTTTCACTTGTTCTTTCCTTTTCCCCCTCATCAGTGTTGGGGCTTTAACTCTGGGCCTGGGCACTGTCCCTCAGCTCTTCAGCTCAAGAGCACTCTACCACTTGAGCCACAGCGCCACTTCTGGTTTTCTGGTGGTTAATTGGAGATAAGAGTCTCACAGACTTTCCTGTCTGGGCTGGTTTTGAACGGAGACCCTCAGATCTTAGC